CTCCTCTCCTCTCCTCTTCTCTTCTCTTCTCTTCTCCTCTCCTCTCCTCTCCTCTCCTCTCCTCTCCTCTCCTCTTCCCTTCCCTTCCCCTCCCTCCCTTTCCTCCCTTCTCACTTGACCACAGAAATTTTGGGTTCAATTGTAGTCATAAGTCAAGGATTACCTGCACTCTTCCAGATGCTGCAGTTGGGGGGGGGGGCTTGAGTGGACAGAGAGGTGTGGGCCAGTGTGGGGTGCCCCAGAGAAGAGCCCTCCCTGTGTCTCCAGCTGCTGACACTCCCTGTTTCTCCCCAGAAAGGATTTACCCCTCTCCACGTTGCTTCCAAATACGGGAAGGTGGATGTGGCCGAGGCTCTGTTGGAACACAACGCACAACCCAACGCGGCAGGGAAGGTGTGTATAAGGACGCGGCCTCACCGCGGCTGGGAGGTGCCACTGCCCTCGGTGAGCCCTCTGGTTTTGTTCTGCCTCCTCTACAGAATGGCCTGACGCCTCTGCACGTCTCCGTCCACCACAATAACCTGGACATAGTGAAAGTGCTGCTCCCCAAGGGGGCCTCTCCGCACAGCGTGGCCTGGGTAAGAGGCAGGTCGGCACCCAGGGTCCCTCCTGGCCGGGGTCGGAGGGGGTGGCGAGGATGCCCAGAGGGCAGTTATGACCTGTCTGCGGCACAGGGCAACTTCTGTGCTCTGGCGTGGGAATCTGTGGAGTTTTGGGGAGAGAGGTCTCAGGGGTCTCTGGCTTCACTTCCCTCCGTTAACCTCACCCAAAACACCCAAGAAAGAAAGAAAGAAAGAAAGAAAGAAAGAAAGGAAGGAAGGAAGGAAGGAAGGAAGGAAGGAAGGAAGGAAGGAAGGAAGGAAAGAAAGAGGGAGGAAGGGAGGGAGGGAGGGAGGGAGGGAGGAAGGAAGGAAGGACTGCCAGTCCCTAGATGTTCTTGGGAATGGACCCTCTTGGCAAAGGACAAGGCCACGATCCCTCAATTGTTCATGAATTAGAGAAAGACGGGGGGGGGGAGAAAGATGGGAAAGAAAGAAAGAAAAAGAGGGAGGGAGAGATGGAAAGAAAAAGAAAGAAAGAAAGAAAGAAAGAAAGAAAGAAAGAAAGAAAGAAAGAAAGAAAGAAAGAAAGAAAGAAAGAAAGAAAGAAAAAGAAAGAAAGAAAGGACTGCCAGTCCCTAGATGTACTTGGGAATGGACCCCCTTGGTCAGCCCCCTTTTCTCTGTGACAGCCTCTCGAATATTAAGACTGCTAAGTCTTCTCTTTGTGAGGGTAGACATCCCTAGTTCCCTTAACTGTTCATCATACAGTTGAACCCCCAGCCCCTTGGAGCTTGAGCCACGCAAGGGCTTGGTTCTAGCTCCTCAAGGACCAAAGGCTTGGAGACATCCAGCCGCCTGATTTCTCTGCAACTTCCCCGCTGGTCTCTCTACGACAGAACGGATACACTCCTTTGCACATCGCAGCCAGGCAGAACCAAATGGAGGTGGCTTGCAGCCTACTGCAATACGGTGCTTCTGCCAATGCGGAATCCACGCAGGGAATGACGCCGCTGCACCTGGCGGCCCAGGAGGGCCACGCGGACATGGTGGTGCTGCTCCTCTCCAAGCAGGCGAACGGCAACCACGGAAACAAGGTGAGTAGATCTTTCTCCTCGTTACCTCCTCGGAAGGATGGTGGGGAACTTGGGGAAGGGTCGAGAGGATCATGGAGGTCTCCATCTCTCCTGATCAGGAGAAGGCGAGAAGCTGTTTTATTCCTGTCTTTTGGCAGGAATAAACCAGGAAAACTATAATGCGCCTTCCAGGTTCGGTACATATGTTTAGGAAGCAATGATGGAGGAATAAGGAAAAGGTTGCCTAGTATGAAATCACTGACTTCATTGCTGTCTATTCTGATTGGCAGTGATTTTCCAATATTTTAAGCGTACCTCAAGGGGGCCAGGATCACCTGAAACCTTGTGCCATGTGGAGACTCAAAGCCTAATCTCTCCGTGTTCTTCTCATGAGCATCTAAATGGCCCTTGGAAGAGTTAGAATGGGGACTCAGTTGAAGGTTCATTCTGGCTCTGTTTGTTCGTATATTATGAAATTGCACATCTGCAATTTCCCAAGCGCCTCTTGTAAAAGTACTAGGGGAGAAAAAGAGACTTTTAAGAGAGCGAAAACAGTCATGGATTAGAGGAGGTGCCAGACGTCCAGCGAGCGAGGCAGTCCTCACACCAATTATGCGTAGTGTTGGTCAATGTCTTTCCATGCTTTAAGGCAATTGCCAGGGATTAGCAACTGGATGGAACCTGTTGCTTTATCCTTTTTATTTGTGGCTTTTCTATCAACATTTTTTTGGCCACTGTTGGAGGAGATTAAATTCTATCCTCACCAGATTTCTTTTCAGTTTGTACACTGCCAACAACTTGGATTGTTTTTCATTCCAGAGCGGCCTCACCCCTCTCCACCTGGTGGCCCAGGAGGGACACCTCCAGGTGGCAGACAACCTGCTCAGGCATGGAGTCCAGGTGGATGCGACGACTCGGGTGAGAATTGCTAGCACGGGGCCAAATTATGTGGGTTAAGACAGAGAGAAAGGGAATATAATAAGCTAACATGGGTTTGCTTGTCCTGATGATTTACCTCCAATCTTGCAAAGATGGGAAACCATAATATTTATTTATTTTTTTATTTGTATCCTGCCTTTATTGTTTATTTTACAAATAACTCAAGGATATAAACCTATCCAGCTCACCTTCCTCCTGTTTTTCCTACAACAATAACTCTTGTGAGGTGGGTTGGTCTAAAAAAGTCACCCAGCCGGTTTTCAGGCTTAAGGTGGGACTATAACGCACTGTCTTCTGGTTCTGGAGCAGGCTATGGAGTTCTCAGACGAGGTTGTGAGGCTTAATGGTAGTTGTTGAGGCCTTTCCTGTTTATCATTGCCTTCCAGATGGGCTACACGCCATTGCACGTGGCTTGTCATTACGGGAATATCAAGCTGGTGAAATTTCTGCTCCAGCATCAGGCTGATGTCAATGCCAAAACCAAGGTATGGAACAGGGCTGTCCCCAGAGGTGGGTGGATAGGGTCAAAAAAGTCAAGATGGAAGCCACAACCAGGCAATGAAACCCCCCCCTTTTATGGACGTCACAACATCTGTAGAAGTGTTGACACCCCTGCTGGTTGGAGGCCCACCATGTCTTTTTAATTGCACCGGTGTCTCTCTTTTTCCCTTTCAGCTGGGTTACACCCCTCTGCACCAGGCAGCCCAACAAGGCCACACCGACATAGTCACCCTTTTGCTCAAGCACGGGGCTTCGCCCAACAGAGTCAGTTCGGTGAGTGGGGACACCCCGGAGGCTATGCAGGTTGCTATTTGTCTGAATTTTCATCGCGTGACCATGGGGATGCTGCAATGGCCATCAAGCATGAAAAATGGTCATGTCCCTTTTTTCAGTGCTTCAAATGTAACTTCAAATGGTCACTAAATGAATGGTTGTGAGCCGGGGACTACCTGTATCATTGCAACTGAGCTTGTCCACCTTCCTACTGGTCTTTCTCTTCTCATTTTATCCACCTTTTTCTACATTATGGATTTCTTAAGGGAGCTAGATCTTTGCATAAAGCAGGGGTCTTCAAACTTGGCCCTTGGATGACTTGTGGACTTCAACTCCCAGCTGAGGAATTCTGGGAGTTGAAGTCCACAAGTCATCCAAGGGCCAAGTTTGAAGACCCTTGGTCTGGATACAAGCCCGCAGTTTCATCAAAATGGTCGACTGAGGAATTCTGGGAGTTGAAGTCCACAAGTCATAAAAGGGCCAAGTTTGAAGACCCCCGGCATAAAGTGTTCAAAATACGACTATTTAAACCTCATCATCTTGATGAGAACACTAGACAGTTGAATAACTGAAACATTTCACCCTTCCTAGTACGGGGAATCAGTCTGGACGGGCCACTGCATTGATTTCAAAAAGAGATTTGGGCACACAGATATCATTTAAGTAGGCTGCCAAATTCAAGTTCGATGCAGAATTTGGAATGCCGTTTGACTGACGCACAATCCCAGCCAGGATTTGCATAATTGTGAATAATGGGCCCCCTTTCTCTATCTCTCCTCAGAATGGCGCCACCCCGTTGGCCATCGCCAAGAGACTCGGCTACATTTCTGTCACCGATGTGCTGAAGGTTGTCACCGACGAGAGCAGCTTCCTGGTGAGGTCCACCGTCCAGCCCGGTGGGAGGGTGGGGGTGTCACAGGGGGGCTTACAGCTTTGAGGCACCCCTCCCATCTGACCTGTTGCTTCTTGCAGTCATTAAGTGACAAGCATCGGATGAGCTTCCCAGAGACGGTGGATGAGATTCTGGATGTATCTGAGGATGAAGGTGAGGTCTGCGGGGTTTACATTGATACGCCCTAAGATTGGGCTAGTAGGAATATCCCTGAAAGCTGTTTCCCCTTTTTGGGGGGCAGAGAGATTCCCTCAGTGGTGTTGAAAATGACATCCTGTTTACAAGTATATTCTACTCTGCTTCCCCATTAGACAGGAGAGAGGATAAATAGAACCAAAATGATCTTCTTTCTCCTACTTTATTTTTTAAAAATAACTCTTTTCTATATGCATTCTGTTCCTCTTTCCGCAACATTAATTCTTCAGACTGCCCTAGTCCTTTGACTATAGGAGAGGGAGAGAATTCCAGTTTTTTTTTTTTTTACTTAGTGGCTCCCATTTTCCTTCCGTCCAACAAAATAGACCAGTTTCGCAGCTTAACGATTCCCGAAGCTGCCTAATCAGAATCAGAATAGAGCTGGAAGGGACCTTGGAGGTCTTCTAATCCAGCCCCCTGGCTCAAGCAACAGACCCTACACCATTTCAGACAAGTGGCTGTCCAGCCTCTTCTTAAAAAGCTCCAGTGACTTTCAATGCAGTCCCTGTCTATAGAATTCCAAACTGTTATGCTGCTTTCTTCAGTTTGATGCAAGGCTTGGATCCTGCAAATAGCCCACCTTGGCTACAATTGACACCAATCCCATTTGGGAAAAGGAGGAGAAAAGGGTGGCCTCACCTTCCCCAGTTTTGTCCCAAATTTTGCAGCAGTGCCTGGACGTAGAGACCAGGGGTCTCCAAACGTAGTCACTGGCTGGGGAATTCTGGGAGTTGAAATCCACAAGTCTTAAAGTGGCCAAGTTTTGGAAACCCCTCACTTTGACCAAAACTGGGGCAACGGAGTCCACTGCCTTCAACCAACTGACAAACCAGCTTTGTTTTCTCTTGCTTTGCAGGCACGACACACGTAACTCTCCTGGGTATGGATTGTGTATTATTGTGGGTTTGGCTCACCCGCCCGCCCGACCCCCATTGACACCATTCCACCCCACACGGGACACGCTCGGGCCTCACATGCCTCCATTCCACGCCAGCTGTGGCTTCCCAGGGGGCCAGCTCAACCACCACTGTCTGTCCATTGTATCTGTGACTGAAGGGGCGGGTGGTGCAGGGAGACTGTGTGAGCAAACCACCATTTCATCGCAGCAGGTTCTTTGTTTAATGCTAGATTGCAAGCTGGTACTGAAAGGAGTTGGAGGCACGGCTAGCAGCTTTATTTGACCCTTCGCTCCCCAATTTTCACAATTCTAAGATGCGTGGACTTCCAACTCCCAGAATTCCCCAGCCGGCACGAGTCGAAATCCACCCATCTTAGAACCCTGGCCTAAAATAACCCAACTTCTTTGACTACCTCACTTGGCTTGGCTTTTCTTGACTTGCTTTTCACCCAGTGCTGTGCAGAATTCTCTTCCATCTTCCCTCCCCCCAGCAGTTCCTATTCGCTTTGAGCGTTTGACCTCACGTTGCTTTCAAAGGGGAAGAGAATTTGGGTGCAATTTTGACAAGTTCAGTGTGGTGCTCTTTTTTGTGCTTAGTGACGAGGCAGCCAAGCTGTGAAAAAAATCGCTTTTCATTGGGGTCTGCGACAACTCACCACGGCCAACTCGTTGAGGGACAAGAGTTGCACTAAGACAGAAGATTTAATTCAGTGGAATCATTAAAGAAAGAATGACCAAGGAGGGACAAAATAAAATGCGAATGACAAACATTGACATCATTTTTTAAATCGTTTTAAATAGTTAAATGGAATTGTTGAATTGTCCCAGGGCCAGTTGGCTGTGACGAATTGGCTGTGGAGAGTTGTCCCATTCCACTTCATTCGGCCACTTTCTCTTCGGCTTCCTGCAGCCTCAAAATGGCCTCCTCGTCCTCTGTTTATTTCTGGGACAAAATAACATGAGGGAGTTGCTTTAGATTGGCCTGTAGAGGAGGTTTTCAAGAGATGGAACAGAATGTGCCCCCAAACCTCGTTAAGAATTTTTTTCAGTGAGCTCAAAATACTACCAAGGAAAAGGTGAAAACAAGCAAGCATTGATTTGACTTCTCCCTCATTCCTTAACATAGGGCTGAGGAACAATGGTTCCTTTATGACTTGTGAACTTCAACTCCCAGTATTGTGCTCAGGAATTCTGGGAGTTGAAGTCCACAAGTCATAAAAGGGCCATGGTTCCCCACCCCTGCCTTAACAGCTGTTGTTTCCTCGTGTGCCACCACCTTCCTTTTCCACTCATATCTCCTCCTAGGATCTAAGCCAGCTTTCCCCTATCATTTTCCAATGATTAGAGCCACTCCTTTCCTCGTGGTTCTCCAAGAATCTCACCTCTTTCCCCATCCCTTGTCTTCTTCTTCTAGCAGGGCGTAGGTTTTTTTTTTCATTTTTCATTTTTCATTTGAAAAAGAAAGAACACTGTTTCTCCAGCTTAGCAACATTTAGCCACTGGTGATCCTCACACATAGGGCCAACTGCTGTTTCTCAGAGAATTCGCAGTGGTTTGAAATAGGAATTGCTACTCTGTGAATATCCACCACGTTCTTGAAGCAGATTTCGCAGTTGTGTACTAAAGCATTTTGAACCAGTGATGAAAATGGGACAAAAGAAAGATGTTTCGAATCCTTTTTTCGAAGCTCCATAAAAAAAATACCAATCTGTCCTTCAAAAGCCCTCTTTGATATATTCATAGCATAGTAGTTTGTCTTGTCGTGTACTATGCTGTTGTTGATTGCAGGATGAAGTCACATGAGACCTCAAGATTGTACACATATTATTCAGGAAGACACATCTGGATTAAATATTAGTCACGGGAGGAGGACACTTTCATTACATTGGTGGGCTTCTATAGGATTCAACCCATAAACTGGCATTTGCCAGCCTTGTTCAACCTGCATTGGAAGGTCCAATGGAATTCTGGGAGTTGTGGTCCAATCGCACCTGCACCATGTTTGGTTGGATGAGCTGGCAGATCAACAGGGCTCCAGATTAAGTATAGCTGTGGGAATGGTCCATGGAAAATGGATGTCCTTGTCCCTCTTCCTGGCATAGGTTCTAGGCTACAGGACTTTCCTCTATTGTACGTGAAGGACAACAACAGCCCTGCTTTTGTCTTGTTTGAGCTCTGATTGCGCCGTGTTTTCATCCCTGTCTCTTTTTTTTAGGAGATGAACTGCCGGGTACCAAGATGCAGAAGCGGGAACTTCAGTATCAGGAAGATGAGAGAGAAATAGTGGAATTTGTCCCCAAATTGGACCACACGTAAGATATGGAAAGGGTGCTATGCATTGACTTGGCAGCTTTTCATCATCATAAGCATAAATTGTTTAGATCATCTGAATGAGATGATCCAGCATCTTCCTGGGATATTCATAGATCATATATCAAAAGCACCATCATCTGTTTCTTATGGACATTCGTAACCATAGTGATGCCAAAACACCAAATTGTGACATCATAATGCATAATCCGTATTCTGTGTACTCTCTGGGGAGATTTTCAATCATCCAGGATATGGTTGTCCCAAGGGTGCTTTTTCCAAAAGGCAGTTGAACTTTCTTGTTTTTCTTTTCTTTCAAAATGTTTCATTTCTCATCCAAGAAGCTTCTTCAGTTCTAACTTAGTTAACTCGATTAGAACTGAAGAAGCTTTTGGGGTAAGAAGCAAAATGTATTAAAACAACAACAAAAAAGTTCAACTGCCTTTTGGAGAAAGCACCTTTGGGTCGTGTCCTCTCGTACTTGCAATGCAAGGATGCAGTACAAAGCCATGCTTAATATAACTTTACAATGTTGTATGCAAGGGAAAGAGTGTGCATTGTGAAGATGCAATGCCTGTTTGCACCCCCTGCATGTATCTCTGCACATGTATAGAAGGATCCGTGTTAGTTGAGCAGTGCAAGATCATAACGGAGCCCTTAACGGCCTACCTCAGGCACGTTGCTAAGCCCTTGGAGATGGGATTTCATGGCAGGCCAGATTGCACCTGTTTTCCCAACACTCTTCTTCCTGTTTTAAAATTTGTTTTGCAACCCAGAAGGGAGGAATCACCAGCTATCCCTCGAATCCCTTGCGTTACGCCTGAGACAGTCCTGATCCGGCCGGAGGAACCCGAGCAGGTGAGTGCCAGCCCAACAAGGCTACGTTGTGGACAGGAGTTGAAAGCGTTCCACAGGCCCTTTCTTGACCATTACTTATTAGTCCGGAGGTGTCCAACCATGGCAACCTTAAGAACGGAAAACTTTGATTCCCGGAATTCCTGGCGGGAGAATTTGGGCAATTGAAATCCACAAGTCTTCAAGTTGCCAAGATTGGACAGGCCTCTGTTAGACCAAGCTGGCGTTGTGTGCTTAGCAGACCCTGATCCAAAATCGTTCCCCACCCCAGCAGCCTAATGTGGGTAAGACTCAGTTTAAGAATGAGGAGGAAATGCTCCATGGGACAGATGCCCCCATTTTTGGCAGAGGTGCCAGAATCCCTGGGTTCCAGGATGGCAATTATGAAGAGCTTGCATGGAGAGGAGTTAGGCTGAAGAGGGTTTGTAGTGGAAAATGGCATCTGGGGGAAGGAGGTCAAGGTCACGGAGAGCCCGGCATGGATTGGCAAGGTCTAAACCTATGTTTAATAGGAGACCCATTTCTGTTCCATCTAGCCTTCCAAAGAGTTTGACGAAGAGTCCCTCATCCCAAGCAGTCCTGCCACAGAGACCTCTGACAACATCAGTCCGGTAGCCAGCCCTGTCCACACAGGGTGAGTCACCTCTCCCACCTCAACCCCTTATGAAGCTGTAGGAAGGGTCTCGTGTAATCACGACAGAATCGTTGCCTGAGTCTTTGGATGGCGGTGTTGTATGCCTACATCTGTCTTCTTCTCCCCTCCCAGGTTCCTTGTAAGTTTCATGGTCGATGCCCGTGGAGGCTCCATGAGGGGCAGCAGGCACAACGGCCTTCGGGTCATCATTCCACCCAGGACGTGTGCAGCACCAACTCGCATCACCTGCCGCCTAGTCAAGCCCCAGAAGCTACCAGCTCCACCCCCTCTGGCAGAGGAAGAAGGACTGGCCAGTAGAATTATTGCTCTGGGCCCTGCTGGAGCACAATTCCTCAGGTGAACGCTTCCGCTCCAGGTGTTCTCCCTGCAGATATGTCCCAGTTGCTGGCCAGCTTTGTGGCTGTCACATGTGACACTCATGCACTGAAGTGTTTCTGGGATGTCATTGCCGAAGGACAGCCCTCCCTCCCTCCCTCCCAGATGTAGGTTTCTGAGAACAGACTTCACACAGATGTTACAATCCTTTTATTCCGATGGTTGTATTAAAAAGAGATTGAACGAGAACTGATGGTTCTCTGGCCTAGAAACATCTCAAGCCTGGGTGAACTTCACATTTTGCATTAAGCCACAGTTTGTTTAACCTTGGTTTGTGATTGACACCAGAAGTGGCTTGGTTCTTTAAACGTAATTCCACCGTTTGGTGTAGGTGTTCTGTGAATTGTCTCAGTGTAGGACTTCCTGCCTACGGGTGTCGTTTGGTTTTCTAGTCTATTTCCCAGTACAAATGAGGACCAGTTTGATGTAGTGGTTAGAAACCAGGAGTCTGTCAGTTCTAGTCCCACCTTTGGTACGTAGCCAGCTGGTAACTTTGGGCCAGTCACTTTTTCGCAATCCTAGGAAGGAATGTACGGCAAAAACCACACATGATTGAATGAATGAAAAATAATAGAAAACAGGAATGATTTTATAGTAAAGATGCAGGCTTCTTCAAATGGTTGCACTTCAGATGTGCTGAAGGATAAGTCTCCAAACTTTTGAGCCAGAACGAACTACTTCTATGACTGCTGTCAATCTGGCTGCCAGGAAATGGGGCCTTAGATTTCAATTCTCCCTCAAACAAAACTAAACATCTTTACGACATGAGCCACTAGCATTGAAAATGGATAGCGTGGAGGTTTTGGGTGGGAAAGTGTTTCTTGTAAATGACACGATACACGTAGGTGTCTTAATGCCTCAGACACTGGACAGCCTCGGTACTGGGAGAGTCTTCAACTGTTGGTGAAGACAATGGCCGTCCACCTTGACTTCTTACATGCAATTCTCCTGTAGCCCCGTGATTGTGGAAATCCCTCATTTTGCCTCGCACGGCCGTGGTGACCGAGAATTGGTGGTCCTACGCAGTGAGAATGGGTCTGTATGGAAAGAGCACCGCAGCCATTACGCAGAGAGCTATTTGGACCAAGTCCTCAATGGGATGGACGAAGGTAGGGACATCTACCTGGAAGTCATCAACTTGCGTAGGGACGCCAATGAGATTCCAAGACTGGGAAACTATGATGGGAATGTCACAACTGCTTGCCCCTCTCTGGCCCTCCTCCTCCTCCTCCTCCTCCTCCTCCTCCTCCTCCTCCTCCTCCTCAGCGAATCGCACAGCCTTTCTCCAGTGGAGTTTCAAAGATGGGAAGAATTGTCTGTGACTATCCCAAACTTGCTGAGAAGTTGGAGATTGGAAAAGATAAAAAAAAATGGCAAGCTGTTAAACATGAAACTGGGAGAAACGTAGCACGGTGCCTTTCTAGCAGCTGTTATTTAATTTTTAATAGACTTCTTTGCATTTTTATAGAGTGGGACTTTTTGCTTTGAAAGGGCCACCTCTCCCCTCCTATTGGTGAATTCTGTTGCATGGTACAAATGTTTTGATTCTAAGAGAATTCAGCGTTTTGCGGACGCTTCTCTGCTTCTTGCCATTTTAACGGTGTCCAGGGCCGCCTTCACTGTAACCTGCATCCTTTGTTGCAGGGCGTGTTAGTACATTTTGGGTTTGGAGGTTTAGCCCAGTTTAGCTTCAGCGTCCTGGTCATTCTTCTGTAAAGAAAATGCTTTACCGGAAGTCTTGAACACAGGATGTGGCTTTCTGTTGCTCAATCTTTGACTCCGTAGGGCAGCCGGCTGGGGGATTCTGGGAGTTGAAGTCCACTCCTCTTAAAGTTGCCAAGGTTGAGAAACACTGCCGTAAAATCCAATGTTTTGATCCCTTAATTAATTATATTACTATGATAGTTGTTAGTATTTTTATTGGGATCCTGATCGATTTCTTGCGGTGGCACGGTAGCCACCGGTTCTCTCGTGACCTGTGGATTCTAAAACTCTTCAGTTCATCTTCCACAGAGCTGGAAAGTCTGGAAGAGCTGGAGAAGAAGAGGATTTGCCGTATTATCACGACCGACTTCCCCCTGTACTTCGTGGTCATGTCCCGGGTGTGCCAGGACTGTGAGTTGATTGGCCCAGAAGGGGGCTGTCTCCAGAGCTCCTTGGTGCCCTTGGTCCAAGCCACCTTTCCTGAAACGGCAGTCACCAAGAAAGTCAAGTTGGCTCTGCAGGTATTGAATGATGGCGAGTCGGACAATGTGGCCTAATTCGGTTACTGGATTGAGTCATTTCTGGGTTTGAACAATAGTTCATATAGGATGGGCTTGTAACAATTATCTCTCTATTATCTGTCTGTCTGTCTACCTACCTACCTATCGATCCATCGATCGATCGATCCATCGATCGATCCATCGATCGATCGATCGATCCATCCATCCATCCATCCATCCATCCATCCATCCATCCATCCATCCATCTATCTATCTATCTATCTATCTATCTATCTATCTATCTATCTATCTATCTATCTATCTATCTATCTATCTATCTATCTATCTATCTATCTATCTATCTATCTATCATTTCTCTCATCTATCATTNCCAGAAGCTACCAGCTCCACCCCCTCTGGCAGAGGAAGAAGGACTGGCCAGTAGAATTATTGCTCTGGGCCCTGCTGGAGCACAATTCCTCAGGTGAACGCTTCCGCTCCAGGTGTTCTCCCTGCAGATATGTCCCAGTTGCTGGCCAGCTTTGTGGCTGTCACATGTGACACTCATGCACTGAAGTGTTTCTGGGATGCCAGTGCCGAAGGACAGCCCTCCCTCCCTCCCAGATGTAGGTTTCTGAAAACAGACTTCACACAGATGTTACAATCCTTTTATTCCAATGGTCGTATTAAAAAGAGATTGAACGAGAACTGATGGTTCTCTGGCCTAGAAACATCTCAAGCCTGGGTGAACTTCACATTTTGCATTAAGCCACAGTTTGTTTAACCTTGGTTTGTGATTGACACCAGAAGTGGCTTGGTTCTTTAAACGTAATTCCACCATTTGGTGTAGGTGTTCTGTGAATTGTCTCAGTGTAGGACTTCCTGCATAGTCTATTTCCCAGTACAAATGAGGACCAGTTTGATGTAGTGGTTAGAAACCAGGAGACTGTCACTTCTAGTCCCACCTTTGGTACGTAGCCAGCTGGTAACTTTGGGCCAGTCACTTTTTCACAATCCTAGAAGGAATGTACGGCAAAAACCACACACGATTGAATGAATGAAAAATAATAGAAAACAGGAATGATTTTATAGTAAAGATGCAGGCTTCTTCAAATGGTTGCACTTCAGATGTGCTGAATGATAGTTTCCAAACTTTTGAGCCAGAACGAACTACTTCTATGACTGACTCTGCTGTCAGTCTGGCTGCCAGGAAATCGGGCCTTAGATTTCAATTCTCCCTCAAACAAAACTAAACTTCTTCATGACATGAGCCACTAGCATTGAAAATGGATAGAGTGGAGGTTTTGGTGGGACAGCTTTTCTTGTAAATGACACGATACACGTAGGTATCCTAATGCCTCAGACGCTGGACAGCCTCGGTACTGGGAGAGTCTTCAACTGTTGGTGAAGACAATGGCCGTCCACATTGACTTCTTACATGCAATTCTCCTGTAGCCCCGTGATTGTGGAAATCCCTCATTTTGCCTCGCACGGCCGTGGTGACCGAGAATTGGTGGTCCTACGCAGTGAGAATGGGTCTGTATGGAAAGAGCACCGCAGCCACTACGCAGAGAGCTATTTGGACCAAGTCCTCAATGGGATGGATGAAGGTAGGGACATCTACCTGGAAGTCATGAACTTGCGTAGGGACGCCAATGAGATTCCAAGACTGGGAAACTATGACAGGACTGTCACAACTGCTTGCCCCTCTCTGGCCCTCCTCCTCCTCCTCCTCCTCCTCAGCGAATCGCACAGCCTTTCTCCAGTGGAGTTTCAAAGATGGGAAGAATTGTCTGTGACTATCCCAAACTTGCTGAGAAGTTGGAGATTGGAAAAGATAAAAAAAATGGCAAGCTGTTAAACATGAAACTGGGAGAAACGTAGCACGGTGCCTTTCTAGCAGCTGTTATTTAATTTTTAATAGACTTCTTTGCATTTTTATAGAGTGGGACTATTTGCTTTGAAAGGGCCACCTCTCCCCTCCTATTGGTGAATTCTGTTGCATGGTACAAATGTTTTGATTCTAAGAGAATTCAGCATTTTGCAGAAGCTTCTCTGCTTCTTGCCATTTTAATGGTGTCCAGGGCCGCCTTCACTGTAACCTGCATCCTTTGTTGCAGGGCGTGTTAGTACATTTTGGGTTTGGAGGTTTAGCCCAGTTTAGCTTCAGCGTCCTGGTCATTCTTCTGTAAAGAAAATGCTTTACTGGAAGTCTTGAACACAGGATGTGGCTTTCTGTTGCTCAACCTTTGACTCCGTAGGGCAGCCGGCTGGGGGATTCTGGGAGTTGAAGTCCACTCCTCTTAAAGTTGCCAAGGTTGAGAAACACTGCCGTAAAATCCAATGTTTTGATCCCTTAATTAATTATATTACTATGATAGTTGTTGTTAGTATTTTTATTGGGATCCTGATCTGTTTCTTGCGGTGGCACGGTAGCCACCGGTTCTCTCGTGACCTGTGGATTCTAAAACTCTTCAGTTCATCTTCCACAGAGCTGGAAAGTCTGGAAGAGCTGGAGAAGAAGAGGATTTGCCGTATTATCACGACCGACTTCCCCCTGTACTTCGTGGTCATGTCCCGGGTGTGCCAGGACTGCGAGTTGATTGGCCCAGAAGGGGGCTGTCTCCAGAGCTCCTTGGTGCCCTTGGTCCAAGCCACCTTTCCTGAAACGGCAGTCACCAAGAAAGTCAAATTGGCTCTGCAGGTATTGAATGATGGCAAGTCGGACAATGTGGCCTAATTCGGTCACTGGATTGAGTCATTTTCTGGGTTTGAACAATAGTTCAAATAGGATGGGCTTGTAACATTTATCTCTCTATTATCTGTCTGTCTGTCTACCTACCTACCTATCATCCATCCATCCATCCATCCATCCATCCATCCATCCATCCATCCATCCATCCATCCATCCATCCATCCATCCATCCATCTATCTATCTATCTATCTATCTATCTATCTATCTATCTATCTATCTATCTATCTATCTATCTATCATTTCTCTCATCTATCATTATCATCTCTCTCCCTCTCATCCATCCATCCATCTATCCATCTATCCATCTATCTATCTATCTATCTATCTATCTATCTATCTATCTATCTATCTATCTATCTATCTATCTATCTATCTATCTATCTATCTATCTATCTATCTATCTATCATCTAACATATTTCTTAAGCACACATCACCCTTCCACCTCCCCATCCAAAATCCTGATGAAGCTGACCAAGCTTTGGCTATTTTGGGAATGAGACCATTAGATTCATACTAGACTTATTTAAAGGTGCTGTTAGGGTCTTGTGTTTTTAGAAGTGTCTGTGTGCCTGTGCCTGTGTGGAAGTGATGAAATTTATCCAGATTTATTATTTATAGTGATGATGTGACACGGGTTTTGCCGTATTGATGAAAACTCACATCAGGCTCAAACAACTGAACTACTCGTGAATAGCCTCAGGCTGAAACTTTATTGTTGTTCACCTACTGTATGTTACAAGAATCGCATCAGTGTGCCTGCCTTTCCCTGGTCATGCTTATGCTTCTTATGCTGCTCCCCTCCCTCCCACCTAGCTGGCCATTCTCCCACAGTTCAGAATTCTTCATATCTATGTACAGGTAGTCCTCAACTTACAACCGTTCATTTAATGACCATTCAAAGTAACACAGTGCTGTAAAAATGACTTATGACTATTTTTCACACCTGCATTGGTTGCAGCATTACCCTTGGTCGCATGATCAAAATCCAGATGTTTAGCAACTAGTTCATATTTATGACGGTTGCAGGGTCCCTCGGGTCACGTGATCAGCTTTTGCCACCCTTCTGACAAGCACAGTCAAGGGGGGAAGCCAGTTTCACTTAACAACAGTGTTACTACCTTAACAACTGCATTGTGATTCACTTAACAACTGTGGCAAGAAAGGTCATAAAATGGGACAAAATTCAGCAATTATCTCGCAGAGCAACATAGATATGGGGCTCAATTGCGCCGTTAAGTAAAGGACTACCTGTATATATTTGCGCAGGGGGGTTTGTATGCTGCACTGGTGAGCTTAGACACATAGCTGACCAATAGTTCTCCATACAGGTATTGTAGACATTAAAGCAATCCCTTACAACTCCTGGATGCATTTCTGCCCACCGTTCAATTTCTTTTGAATCCTGCCTGTCTGTGGCCTCTTAGGAACATCAGCCCACTGCTTCTTCATTGCTTTGATTCAGGAAGAGGACCTTCTTGAGACCTTCTTGGGTTTTGGTCTTTCTCTTGCAGGCTCAGCCAGTGCCTGATGAGCTGGTGACAAAACTCCTGGGGAACCAGGCAACCTTCAGCCCAATTGTGACGGTGGAACCGCGCCGTAGGAAATTTCACCGGCCGATTGGGTTGCGCATCCCTTTGCCCCCTTCCTGGAAAGAGAATCCCCGAGACAGTGGGGAAGGTGATACCACTAGCCTGCGTCTCCTCTGCAGCGTTATAGGTGAGCAGGGACTTTGGGGGTTATCTAAGAAAGAGCATCCCTTCCCATGTGGCTTCTTTGTTGCCAAGTTGGTGAGGACCTCAGGATTTGGAAGCTGTGTTATGGGGAAAACCTGCCTGGACATCCTCTTGAACATTGGTCTTCTCGGTCTTCTTTGACTTCCAACCCTTGATTCTCCATTATGTTGAGGACACAAGCGCTGCCCTCTCTGGTAAACATCTTCAGAATAATGTCACATGATGCCAGCTCTTCAAGACAGACCAAACTAGGAAACCAAAGTCATGCAGCCAATTCTAGGTTTATCATAAGTTTATAGTAGGAGGATCTTGCAAGTCTGAAAGCATCTCCTGCCCTCTCTCCACTTTTATCTTTGTGAGAACTGGAGAGGATCTTGGGGAGAGAGTTGACATCTTCTCAAATTACATTTCCGACCCTGGGCTCAGTTAACAACCACAGTTGGGACTGGCAACTCTGTCACTAAACGATGCGGTTTGTTAAGCAAGACAGCCCATGACTGCGATGGACTTACAACTTTATGTCCACTGTGGTTGTTAAGTGCATCATCCATGGTTGTTAAGTGAGACATTATATGACAACAACTTGCAATTTTGCTGGCAGTTTTCCCATTGATTCTATTTACCAGAAGCTAGCTGTGAAGGATGCACGCAGCAATCACATGACCACGGGACACTGACGGGAATAAACACTCACTGGTTGCAAAGCACCCAGATCTCAGCTACATGACCATAGGGACATAAGTGTGAGGACTGATTGTAAAAGAAAATTTCAGCACTGTTGTAATTTTGAAAGATTGGTAAACAGGGCATTTGTTAAGGTGAGAACTACCTATATTGTCTTGATAGTGGTTCTCCATCCTGTTCCTCAAGGTCATTCCTTCTTCCTATTACATCATACGATAACAGACGATTCAGTGGTATTATCTAGAGACTGATGTTTTCTACCTTTGGAGAAAAATCACAGGAGGAACTGGCAGGTAGCTAAAGATTCAGGAGAAATGCTACCACTAGAAGCTAAAACTGATGGAGATGATGGACCCAAATGAACCAGAAGGAAGCTTCTGTATTTCTCCCCATCTTATCTCATCAGCTTCAATTTTAGCACCAACCTTTTCTTCAGATTGGCTGCCCTTTCAAGGCATTCAAGAGGAATATATATTTTTTTCTTTCTTTCTGTGTCAGTTGCATCAGGGACAAAACAGTAGGCGACTCTTAATCACGTTGCAAAGGGCCAGCCAATTGGCCTCACGCAGAGCTGAGCTTCTGTATCAAATTTCTAGACTCAAACGGGGGATTGAAGACAATCAGTTCTTTCCCCTTTGTTTCCTTAGGAGGAACCGCGCCAGCACAATGGGAGGACATCACCGGGACCACAAAATTAATTTATGCCAACGAATGTGCAAATTTCACCACCAACGTGTCGGCCAGGTGAATGGGAGGGAAGGTTTGGGAGAACATGTTGGGTAGCACCTCAAGAATACATGCTGGATCTCATATGGCCCCAGGGAGTGCAACGTACAACGCAAGGGATTGCGTTGACCAGCCTTTTAGACGTGCTGGATTACAGCTCTAATCATCCTAGTTTGGTGTAATCCAACATGTTTGAAGGATATTGGGTTGGGGAAGGAAACCCTAAAGAAACACAGAGTGCCATCACTTTATGGTACATAATGGTCTAGGGTCTCCTGCTTGAGCAGGGGGTTGGACTAGAACAGGGATAGGCAACCTTGGCTCTTTTATGACTCATGGACCTCAACTCCCAGAATTCCTGAGCCAGCATGGCTGGCTCAGGAATTCTGGGAGTTGAAGTCCATGAGTCATAAAAGAGACAAGCTTGCCTACCCCTGGACTAGAAGATCTTCAAGGTCCCTTCCAGCTCTATTCTAATTGATTGAACTAGCAATGTCGCCATTGAGTCAAATTTGACGTCTGTTGATTCCATAGAAATGTCCCTGTTGTTTTCTTGGCAACTGAACAGCAGTTGTTCAACTTTTTCTGGTGGTCTCTCATAGCAATAGCATTCTAGACTTATACACCACCCCACAGAGCTTCACAGCACTCTCTGGGCGGTTTACAGTGTAAGCATTATTTGCTGGTTGCTCCCAACAACCTGAGTCCTCATTTTACCAACCTCGGAAGGAGGGAAGGCTGAGTCAACCTTGAGCTCCATCCACCTTGAACCCCATCAGGATCAGACCCCTGGGCAGAGTTTTTCCTGCAGTGTTGCATTTAACCACTGCGCCCACCAGGGCTCCTAGAATTGTGTTACCTTTTCCGCCACCTAGGTTCTGGCTGGCAGACTGCCCGCGCACAGCCGAAGCTGTCCATTTTGCTACTCTGTTATACAAGGAGCTGGCAGCGGTGCCCTACATGGCTAAGTTTGTGGTCTTTGCCAAAATGAATGACGGGCGGGAAGGACGTTTGCGCTGCTACTGTATGACCGATGACAAGGTGGACAAAACGTTGGAGCAGCATGAAAACTTCACCGAAGTGGCACGCAGCCGGGACATTGAGGTAACCCCTAGGTGTAGGAGATGACCAGGCTGAGCCAGAAGGCAGGGCCAACGTGTCATCAGTTTGGAGTCCCTATGCCAGGGGTCTTCAAACTTGGCCCTTTTATGACTTGTGGATTTCAGCTCCCAGAATTCACATGTAAATGTGACCCAGAGGGAAGAGTCAGGGAAAGAAGTAGCCGGGAGCAAAAGGTGATCCATTGGTGAAAGAGGGCTGGTGGAGAACATCATCTTAAACAGCCTCAAATTTGAAAAAGCATTATCTCTCTATACCCACCTAGTTCTAGGGCAGGGGTAGGCAACCTCAGCTCAGGAATTCTGGGAGTTGAAGTCCACGAGTCATAAAAGGGCCAAGTTTGAAGACCCCTGCCCTATGCTCTTATAAGAGATCTAAGTTCAAACCCCATGAATTCCATTGACCCTTATCTATCTCCAGAAGCTACCAAGGATCTATGGGGAATGGGCGAGGGGAACGGGTGAGGTGGAACACAACCTTTTAAAATGGTAAGAAATAATTGCCTGGAGAACCTTACCGTGGTCTTTCGCAGGTGGCTGAAGGCATGCCCCTCCACATGGAGCTTTCTGGGAACCTGCTGCCAATCAAAAAGGCTGCCCAGCAACGGAGCTTCTTGTTCCAGTCATTCCATGAGAACCGCCTCATCATCCCCGTTAAGGTAATCAGCAAAAGGTTTGGAAATCTGGGGCTGTCTCTAGTTGTTCTGGCTGGCTCTCTTCCCAGGTAAGGATGCCAACAGAGTCTATCACATCTCTTTGCGGTCTTGTAAAGCTCAGCATCGTAGAAGGGACAGTTTTCTTGGCTTGGTTGGGCCTCCACCAAGCAGTTACGTATTGTAAGTAGACATTTCAGGAAGAAAACCTAAGCTTGAGTGACTTCAGAATTACAGAACAGAATAACAGAGTTGGAGGGACCTTGGAGGTCTTCTAGTCCAATCCCCTGCTCAAGCTGGAGACCCTAGACCTGTGGTGGCGAATCTGTGGCACGTGTGCCACAGGCGGCACGTAGAGCCCTCTCTGTGGGCACACACGCCGTCGCCCCAGTCCTAGGCCTTCAGCTGGGTTTTATAAAACCTTTTTGCTTTAGGCCTCCACCACCATATGCAAAAAAAAAAAGGTTCAATCAATCAATCAATTTCAACTTCTCACGGGAAAAACATCTCTCGCAAAGTTGGAATTGATTGATTGAACTTTTTAGTCCCACCCAGTCTGCCGTTACCACTGCAGCCACACCTACCCAATGGCCATGCCCACCCAATGGGCCACACCTACCCAATTGGCCATGCCCACTCGGCACCCGACGATACATAAGTGGGTTTTGGGTTGCAGTTTGGGCACTCGGTCTCTAAAAGGTTCGCCATCACTGCCCTAGACCAGGGGTAGGCAACCTTGGCTCTTTTATGACGCGTGGACTTCAATTCCCAGAATTCCTGAGCCAGCATGGCTCAGCTTGGAAACCTCTCCCTTTCCCCTCAGCATGGATGCCTCCTTGCTCCTCTTGCTAACTGTCTTGTGACTCAAATGGGAGAATTCATAACTGCTGAGAACGGGCTGGGGGATTCTGGGAGTTGAAGTCCACAAGTCTTAAAAGTTGCTGAGTTTGGAGACCCCTGGTTTAGAAAATACGGAAGTCACGTCCATTAGTTCTTGTCCTGATATTGTTTGAAATATCGCTTCCCGTTCCGTGGCTGAGAGAATTCTGTTGCGGTGGCTCCTCCCAACTCTAGATCCCATGATTCTTTGAAGGACTACAAACCAGCTTGGAGCTGAAATTAATTGCCAGGAATTTATCTCCCACGTTCACACAAGAAAGAAAATAAGTTGCTTTGTTTCTGAATATCTTTCTGACAATACCAGAAAAGAAAGTACAATTAGAAAGATGGGGCTGATAGTAAGTAAAGGAGGATTGTGGAAGACGGGTGATATTTTGATCTGCTTCTTGAATAACTTCAATTGGTTCCCTCTGGTCTTCTGAAATGTAGGTGAGGGACAGTAGCCGGGAATCCAGTGGCTCTTTGTCCTTCCTCCGCAAGCCCATGAAGTATGAGGAGCTTCAGCATGTGCTGTGCCATCTGAACATCACTATGCCACCCTGCTCCAAGGTGAGTAAGTCCACCTTCTCTTGCCCTATCCTGCCCATATTGCATTGCTTTGAGTAGTATCCTACTCTTTTTGCCTCCCTGCACAACAGGCGTAGAAACAGCTTCAGGATTCAGCCCCATTGCAGGCTTGCAAGATGCAATTCCCTGCAACACATCCAAACTGTGTATATATCTACAGTTGTCAGATTCTGATGAAAGATCAACAGTTGTGCATTTGTCCCCCCCCCCCTTCACTGCCTAGCTCTCTTGAAAACACGGAAAGGAGCATGGTTTTGAGGAGGGAAGTGATGCGATGGACTTTATATCTGGAGAAGGAATGGGTAGTCTCCCAGGGAAGAACCAGGAAGCAAAGGAATGCTATGGATATCTCCCAAATCAATGTTCTTTGATCTTTGGTCATGAGATGTCCCAGGCCGAAATAGGAGAGTCTTTAGTTTTTGAGTATATCCCCACCCAGCAAGTATTTGTTGGGTGGATGCTCCTCTCCACTTGGAGGCTGAAAAATCTTAAACCTCTCCTTGTTGTCCCAGACTTTGGGCAGTGAAGATCGAAGGAGAACCTTGACACCACTTGCCCTGCGAGAGAGATACAGCCTGCTCAGCGACAGCACTCTAGGTAAGGAGGCAAGATCCCAGCGCTGCAGGTTGGACAGAGCCTAGAACCCTATTCCTCTTTGCTAGACTCTTAGCATTTAACTGGGTCAAATGAAGGTGGGTATGTGCATAATGGTATTTTTTGGGAGCTGAATGCAGTGAAATTTAATTTTAATGTTTGCTGATTAGTGTACAAAGTGACAAAGTTTCTACTCTACTCTACTCTACTCTACTCTATTCTGTATTTCTATTCTATTCTATTCTATTCTATTCTATTCTATTCTATACTATACTATTCTATTCTGTATTTCTATTCTATTCTGTTTTTCTATTCTATTCTGTAATTCTATTCATTTCTATTTCTATTTCTATTTCTATTTCTATTATTTCTATTTCTATTTCTATTTCTATTTCTATTTCTATTTCTATTATTTCTATTTCTATTTCTATTTCTATTTCTATTTCTATTTCTATTTCTATTATGAAATTGCCAGTTTGAGAGTTTGCAGGCTGGAAGACTTAGCACAAGGCACAATGTCCCACCAGGGATGGGTGAAGTCAATTAGAAGGCAGATGTTTTCTCTGCAAAGGCTCCCTGTAGTCCAAACAAAGTCTCCAGTGCAAAGACCCAGCGGGTTCATTCACATCTTCCTTGATGTGCTAGCTGTCCACAATAGAGAGTTAGAATGTGTTTCTGCATCAAAAGTCCCTCGATGGTCCTGTTCCATGGATCCTACTGTGATCTGGGGGGGGTGGTAGTGGCGATCGATGGCGGACAGTTGGCACCACAGCCGCATCTTTGTTTTTTGAAGAGTAGTCTGTTGAAATAGGTGATTTCATTTTTAAAAAAGGCAGATAGCCTTGTGCATCTTTGCTGCCCCCCCTCCCAACAAGGGACCTTTTTCAGAAAAATAGTCTGCTCAGATGCTTTTAAACTTATAAACTTATTTTTAGAAAAATATTTGCAAAATGTACACACCCACATCTACCCACCCACCCATACATACACACACACACCATTCAAGGAACAATATGAAAACCACCCTTGAATTATTTCCTTGTTTATTTTATTTCAGTCATAGGCCAGCATAAAATTAGTAGCAGTCACTGTAAGGTAGAAGTAAAAATCTAAAAAAATCATATTGATAGATTAAAATAAGGTAAAAATAAAATTATTAATGTAAAATTACTAAGTACGGGAATTAAAATCCAGGAGGAAACCCATAAATTTATAATCAATTTTACAACCAATAATCAAAATACTGTAGACCAGGATTGGGCAACTGTGCTGGCTCAGGAATTCTGAGAGTCATAAAGGGGTCAGGGCTGCCTGTCCCTGCTAAATAGACAATCAAGACATAACTATTCCTAAACACTAAGCTAACTTACATTGAATCTAATACTTCCTGAAGTCTGCTACGGTTTGTTGGGATTATGTTAATTATGATCCCATCAATAGCAAACTGAAGAAGCTTCTTGGATGAGAAGCTAAATGCTTTCAAGGACGAAAGCCCCCTCCCCCAAGAAAGTCCAGTTGCCTTTTGAACAGCATCTTTGGGACAACTCCAGCAGTACCTGAAGATGGAGATGGTTGAGTTTGACTTTGTTCCTCTCCATCCAGGCGCCCTTAACAGCACAGAGAAAGACAGGACCAACATGAAGTTGGCGGTGATCGCAGAACACTTGGGACTCAGTTGGGCTGGTAAGTAGCACTGAACTGGGGGCAGAGAAGGAACCAAGCCAGGTCAAATGGCAGACCTGGAGCAAAGGGTAGGAGAGACCCTGAGACTGAGTTGGCCATTGAGGTTTGGACCTTAGAGGAAGAATGTTGTGGTTCTGAGATTGGAGGTAGCGTATTAGCTCCCTGTACTTGGCTTCTGTGTCTTCTTAGTCCCTATGGGAGACCTAGATGTGTAATCCCAGGTTCCATAATCAACACATTACATCAGAGGTGAACACTCTGTGATCCTAAGACTCCATGCCCCAAAGAATTAAGGATATAGAAACACAAAATGACATAGCTATCCTTAGTAAGGTGGGTAACTTGAAATGGCTGAGCAAATACAAACGTACTTTTCAAATAGACAGCTATTTGAAGTTACAACTGCCAAAACATCTAGGGGAGATATTTACGTGAGCGAGATTTGAACAGCTCGACACAATGGTTAGATGCGGGAGATTCCATTCCATACCCTACAATGAACATCTCTGCATTTGTGGAATGCCAGAGGTAGAAGACCTGGCTCACATCCTATTCGATTGTTGCCTGTCTCAGTGTGCCTGGCTGAGGAATTCTGGGAATTGAAGTCCACAAGTCATAAAAGGGCCAAGTTTGAAGACCCCCTGGTCTTGGGCTATCTCAATGGAGATTGGGAGCAGTGAAGACCAGTTGCCTTCTATTCTTACCTGATGATTGAACTGGCTGATATACTGTGTTCTCCACAATCGCCTGCAGAGCTGGCTCGGGAACTTCAATTTGGAGTGGATGACATCAACAGAATCCGAGTTGAGAACCCCAACTCCCTGCTGGAGCAGAGCATGGCCCTGTTGAATCTTTGGACCAGCCGTGGTGGCCAGAGTGCCAATAGTGAGTATTAACGATAGTATCGGAAATGAGGACTTCATCTTTTTCATATCAGAGAGATGCTTTAGATTTTTCTCCAGAGACTTTCTAAAATCAGCTCGTGTCATCAAAAATCTTTGGGTTCCATCCTATTCAGCAATGGAAGGATGCATCAAGACCCATGCTGTTGGCATTTTCATACCGAATTAATGCAGCTTAGGAGGAGGAGTGCAGTGGCTCATGTGGTTAGGATGCTGGTTGACAATCAGCAAGCCCGTGTTTGAGATCCCGGTGCTGCTGTGTAACGGGGCGAGCTCCTGTCATTTGCTCCAGCTCCTGCTGACCTAGCAGTTTGGAAGCGAATAATTGCGAGTAGATAGATAGGTACCACTTTCAGTGTGCACATTAATGGGGTCATGAAAGGAGCCCCCGACCAGGCGTTCTCTGGGCAATGGTGATCTCATTGGCTAATCCCTGAAGCACCTTGGTGCTTCCAACATGAACATGAGCAAATGCAACTTAGAGTCTTCTTCTTGCCATCTTGGACATCCATCTGTGATGGGAATTAAGAGTGCCAGTTGGAGAAGACTAACAGATTGGTTGAGGGTCCTCCCTTAAGTTTCCACTGACCTATTTCTTCTCCCATTTATGAATATGAGCAACCCAAAAGAACCTTACAATTGGAATTCTGCCCTATCAAAAAAGAATGAAGGTAGTCCTTTGCCGATTTTTAATCAATGAACCGAGTTCCCATTCCTCACTCACTTCTTTGCCCATCTCCTCTCCCTTATTTTATAAAAGTGGTTGATGTTCAAAGCTCAGGGCAACCTAAGATGCTAAGGCGGCTTGACACAAAAGAAGGTGACCATTCCTATTAAAGGACCAAATAAAATCAAACTACAGGTAGTCCTAGACTTACAACACAATTGAGCCAAACATTTATGTTGTTAAGTGAGGATTTGTTAAGGGAATTTTGCCCCATTTTACGACATTTCCTGCCACCATGGTTAAGGGAATCACTGCGGTTGGTAAGTTAGTAAGAATTTGGTTTCCCCTTTGACTTTGCTTGTCAGAAGGTCATCAAAGGGGATTACGTGACCTTGGGACATGGAAACGTACATAAATACGAACCAGTTGCCAAGCATCTGAATTTTGATCACATGATCACAGGGATGCTGCAAAGACTGTAACTGTGAAAAGTTACACTTTTTTTCAATGCCGTTATAATTTTGAAAAGTCATCAAATGAACTGTTGTAAGTCGAGGACCTCCTGTATGTTTGAGTTGGGGTTTCCACCATGGTTTGGGCAAGGCTCCACTTGGCTTTAGGTCTAGCTCTGATTTCCTCTTCCTAATAAGTTCTTCCTGGTCCTTTGCCCTCCCAGTGGAGAGCCTTTATGCAGCTCTTCGCAACATTGATCGTAGCGAAATCATCAACATGTTGGAAGGTTCGGGGCGACAGGGCCACAGCCTGAAGGGCGACAAGCGCTACCGACACAGAGACTATTCTGGGTCTCCCTCCCAGATCAATGGTGAGTCCCAGATCTGCTCTGGTAAGCTGGTAAGCTTCCGGTCTTTCCCAGTTGACTCCTGTGGTCACAATCACCTTTCCTTCTCATTCTGGATCTAATAATGAATGCTTGGCAGAGGAACCATCTCACTGACCCTCAGGAGGTGGTATGTGTCTGAATTCATCCTTATTTCATGGCCAGATTTCTTTCTTCCTTATAGCTTAAAGCAGGGGTCCTCAACTTTGGCCACTTTGAGACTGGTGGACTTCAACTCCCAGAATTCTGGGAGTTGAAGTCCACTAGTCTTAAAGTGGCCAAGGTTGAGGACCCCTGGGTTTCTCAACTTTACCAACTGCAAGACATGAGAATTTCAACTCTCAGAACTTCCCATCCATCTATCCATCCATCCATCCATCCATCCATCCATCCATCCACATGTATTAAAGCTGCCAAGGTTGAGAAACAATGGGTTAAGGGAAGATAGATTGGACACACACCTCTGATAGAGAGAGGACCAAAGTCTCTGGCATCCAAACAAGCAGACTGTCCAGGAGACATGGGGACCAAAGTGCCGGTCCTCTTGTGGCTATTGCTCTTCAGGGGATTGGAGTGCTCGCCCTGCTTCAAAACAGCAAATCGTTATGCTGGTGAGATGGTCTGAGAATAGCTATTGGATCCAGAAGGTGATGCACCCCAGACAGAGACCAGGCCTTGGACCATTTAAATTGAGATGTCAACAGCAAGTGCTGGATGTGATTAGGGAGTTATCAAGGGGCCTGGCTTACAGTCTGGAGTTGCAATCCAAGTGTCCCTTTGAAGGACGGGATCTCCAGTAATTTACACAGGTGCCAATCAAGATGGGAGGGAGTTTCGGTGGGTGCTGGAGGCCCAACGCAGCCTGCAAGGTTTTAAGGCGATTAAGAGGGGGGCACCCAGCTTCTCTACTGCACTGCCATTCTTTCTCTGCCTCCATCCCTCTTCCTCCCCAGTGTGATCTTCCACTTTCTCTCCTGCCAGAAGGGGTGCTGGTTGTTCCAAGCTGGCTGTCTGGGAGGTGCCCAAGATGGCGCCACTGGCTTTATCCCGGTCTCTCTGTCTCTCTCTCTTCTTCCTCTGCAACCTGCCTCCACTGTCTCGGTCTGTCTTTTTCTCTCTCTCATGGGATCTGAGCCATCCTAGAACTGCGGCTTCGCTAACTAGCGCATGATTCGCCTGCTTTGACCCGGCCTTTGGGTGCAGGCTCAGCCCAAGCTCCCCCTTTGCATCTTCCTGCTGGCCCTCCCCTGGCCCTCCCCACCCCTGCTGCTGCTGCTGCTGCTTCTGCTTCCCTTCCTTGCCTTCCAGTGGCTTGCAGCCAATGCCTGCGCTCACCTGGGCAGCTCTGCCTTGTGGCTGCATGGAACAATCGTCACACTCACACTGAATCCTTGGGAGAAGTGACACACAAGTCGTTTCTCTTCCCTGCATTTACCCGATGTCAGCCCCTGCAGAGATTCCTGGAATCCGTAAAAAAGAATATTTCTAGCTCAGGGTTGAAATGAGGGGCCCCGGGTGCTCTCTGAGCCGGTTTGTTTTCTCGCAGACGCCCCATTACCCAAACTAGGTAACCTCCTCAGCGCTAAGTGCTGATGATCAGCACCGATGACGTTACCTAGTTTGGGTAATGACACATCTGCAAGAAAACAGCCAACCTCAGGAGCCCCAAGGGCCTCTGATTCCAAGGATGTTGTTTGATTATTGTAGAGTAGAATAACAGAAGCTCGAAAAACTGGCTGAATTTCTCTCGGCAACATCTCGTACCAAGCAAAATCAAGGCGGGGGTTATTTTGACTTTCTTTTTCACACTTTACTCCTACTCAAGTCTACGTCACCTTTTTCTGAAAGCCCCTCCCCCCCTTAATACTTTGCTCAACCCTTCCTCTTTCCCAAAGCTAGAGCTTCCCTTCTTTTGTACCACTTCACCCTCCTGGTAATTTTGGGTTGAAAGAGTGCCACGATTGGACAGGGTAATTGGGAGCTTTCCCCCCCCACCCACCCAATGCTCTTTGGATGGGCCTACAACGGCCTGCAAGCATTTATTTATTTATTAAATTTATATGCCACCCGTCTCACTATTGAGTCGCTCTGGGTGGTTGCAGGCATCATAGCTGCCCAGGGTATGGAAAGGGTTGGTCTCCATAAACATTTACCCAGATGGCTCCATGGTGCTGGCTCCCGGAAGTGGCACTCAAACTAGTTGGGATGGAGACCCTTTGGTGCACAAAATAAGCTCCATACCCAGAACAGTGTTTCTCAAGCTTGGCAACTTTTAAGATGTGTGGACTTCAACTCCCAGAATTCCCCAGCTGGCAAAGCCGACTAGAGAATTCTGGGAGCTGAAGTCCACAAATCTTAAAGTCGCTAAGGTTGAGAAACATTGTCCAGAGGGACAGGCCTGCCTAATCCTGTCCCTCCCCCACCCCCCCCAGTCCCAGCTCAGTGTGTCAGTCTGTCGTCCTCTGTCTGCCTACGCAGGTTATGCTTCGCTGCAGGACGAGCTGCTGTCCCCCGCCTCCATGCACTACGCTCTGCCTTCCCCGCTGTGTGCCGACCAATACTGGAATGAGGTGGCCATCCTGGAAGCCATCCCCATGGCTGCCAGCGAGCAGGATGCCCTCCTGGAGATGTCGGACATGCAGGTGTGGTCTTCCGGGCTGACGCCCTCGCTGGTGACTGCCGAAGATTCCTCCCTGGAGTGCAGCAAGGCTGAGGACTCGGACGCCACGAGTGAAGGGCGGTTCACGGGGCAACTGCTGGAGGATGTGCATGGCCCTGACCCTCTTGGCTCCATGGACCTGGTGGAGGAAGACACAGTGGATTCAGACGCCATGAATGGCCTGATGGACATGTTAGAGCAGGAGGAAGGTCAGAGGTCAGAGGGGAGAAGGCCAGATGGCGAGCACTAGGGGGCCACTTGGGGAGTCAGGGTTCCCACTGTGACCTCTTTCTCATTCCAGGCCAGCAGAGAGTCCAAGTGGGCATCACAGAGTCGCCCACGGTTAGCCGGGTGATAGAGAAGGGCAAGGACAGGTAAGGCAATGCCCAGTTGAAAGGGCAGGGATTGGGGAACTCTGAAGGTGGGCCAGCCTGGGAAATAGGGAAGACATCCGGGACCAGTTCTGGATTGTCCCCAAGAAAATGTCCTGTCCATGTTTGGCAAGACCAGACTTAATTGCTCAGAAGAGGCCCAGATATTTCCATGTCAATTGTGGGTATCAATCAGTATAAAAGCTGTGGTGGCGCCGTGGTTAGAATGCAGTACTGCGGGCTAATTCTGCCAACTGCCAGCAGTTCAATCCTGACTGCTCAAGATTGACTCAGCCTTCCATCCTTCCGAGGTCGGTAAAATGAGGGGGGGGGCAACATGCTGACTCTGCAAACTGCTTAGAGCAGTGATGGCGAACCTTTTAGAGACCGAGTGCCCAAACTGCAACCCAAAACCCACTTATGCATCGTCGAGTGCCGGGTGGGTGTGGCCAATTGGGTGGGTGTGGCCAATTGGGTGGGCGTGGCTGCAGTGGTAACAGCAGACTGAGTGGGACTAAAAAGTTCAATCAATCAATTCCAACTTTGCAAGATCTTTTTTTTCCCCGCCAGAAGTTGAAATTGACTGATTGATTGAACCTTTTTTTTTTTTGCACACGGCGGCGGAGGCCTAAAGCGAAAAGGTTTTATAAAACCCAGCTGAAGGCCTAGGACTGGGGTGACAGCGTGCGTGCCCACAGAGAGGGCTCTGAGTGCCGCCTCTGGCACCCGTGCCATAGGTTCGCCACCACTGGCTTAGAGAGTGCTGTAAAGCACTGTGAAGCGGTATATGCTATTGATAGTGTTATTTAAAATTTCGCTGCCACCATTTCAAACTGATCAACATAGATTTCCAATACTTGGGTTGTCTTCTCGTTCATAGTTCTTTCCTTGTAGCATAATTGTTTTAGGTTTGATTGTTTTTTTATCTTTTGCTCCTTAGCCCAAGAGAATCAGTTGCTTATAAAGAGTTCAAAGTGTATTTAACAGTGAGGGTCCTGTGGGATTGGGGTGGGGTGTAATTGGAATGAATGAATGCGTGAAACAATATTTCATGGGAAGATAATGTGAAATATGAATGATTTCTTTTTAGAAGTACAAAATTCTGTTGCTTTTTAAATGAAGCGGGTTTTTTTTTTTTCCACAATGGCTTTTCAGAGTCTTATCAGGGCCCCACCAAATTTTGGAAAGTGGCCATGAAATTCCAGACTAAATCTGGTGCTGCCTTGAAGCTCTGGATGTTGTATTCTAAGGGAATGGGGGGAAAAAACCCCCTCTCTTTCTGTCCTTCATCCCAGGCCCGGTGAATGGGTGGTGGAGGGCGCCTTCATCTCCAACCTGTCAGACCTGGGCAAAGGGGTGTCCCTGAGCCCCCCACTCCTGCGACAAGGGGTGTCGTCTTACAGAGTGCGGGGCCGGGAACGGGAGAAGCCGGAGCACATGCGGATCGACTCGTCGGAAGAGCGGGAAGGCTCCCCCTTCCAGAGGGACTGGGGTCTCCAGCCTGGGAGGCAGCAGCAAGGCCTGGCCAAGTGGCTGGAGGACTCGGACAGCAGCTGCTTTGCCCAAAGGCAGGTAAGTCTACAGGCGGTCCCCGGCTTACGACCAACACTGGTGCTGTTAAGTGAGAAATGGGTTAAGTAATTTTTGCCCCATTTTATGACTTTTCTTGCCACATTCGTTAAATGAATCCCCGCACGGTTGTTAAGTGAATCCAGTTTCCCCCATTGAAGGTTGCAAAAGGGGATCAGGTGATCCCGGACGCTGCATCCGTCCTAAATGCAAGTCAGTTCTCAAGCATCTGTATGTAAATTGGGGATGCTACAACGGCCGACAGTGTGAAGAATGGACGTAAGTCGCTTTTTTCGGCGACGTTGTAAGTTTGAATGGTCACTAAATGAACCGTTGTAAGTCAAGGACTGCCTGTATTGCACTTACTTGGTTTGGAGACTGGGCGACTGTCATGCAAATGTATCTTAGCCAATAGCAGGCGGGGTGGAAGGATCTTCCTTAGTTCTCTGGAGAGGAGAGAGTAGAAATACTTTCAGGCAAGCAGGATTCTGTTACTATAACCTTTACCACAAGGATAGTGCTAGACTCACGGTATCAGTTTCTTGTCTGCACTTATATATATAAAATTATATATGTCCAGACAAGAAACTGATGCCGTATATCCATCACTGGAGATTTTTAAGAAGCGATTGGACAAGCATTTGTCTGTAATGGTATAGGGGTTCCCGCTTGAGCAGGGGGTTGGACTAGACGACCTCCAAGGTCCCTTCCGTTTTAACAATCTATTTTGTTGACTTCCTTAAAGGGCTGGTGTCACACTCTTCTGCCCTCCTTTCCCTTTACTCTCTGGGAAAGTAGGGAGGGTCCCTTCCGAGAGATTCTCTGGCCCCTTGTTCCTTCTGTGGCCCCAGAAGCCTTTGGCATGATGGTTATGTAGGCTGCAGCTCTTCCTCCCGTCTCCCAAGGCCATCCCCACAACCATTAATTTGTGTGCATCCATGCACACACATCCTTGCTCAGGACAGAAATAAATCGGTATCTAAACATCAACCCTGCTTGTTCAGGAAATGCAAGAGGCCGACGCCGCAGCAAGGAAAAATCTTTGCAAAATTTTCCCCTCCTGACGAATACAGTCCCAGACCTCGGGTGTTCACAGCTGAGCCCAAAATTTCTGTCGTAAAGTGAGACATTTCCTAAGGGAGTTTTGCCCCATTTTACGACCTTTCTCCCCAACGTTGTTAAGGGAATCACTGCAGTTATGACGCTAGTAATGTGGTTGTAAAGCGAACTGGGGTTCCCTGTTGACTTCGCTTGTCAGACAGTCGCTAAAGGGGATCATGTGACCCCCGGGACGCTGCGACCGTCGCAAATATGAGTCAGTTGCCAAGCCTTTGAATTTTGATCACGTGATCCTGGGGATGCTGCAAAGGTCGTACCCGTGAAAAACGGTCATAAGTCACTTTTTTCAGTGCCGTTGTAACCTTCAACGGTCACTAAATGAAGTGGGGCAAGTGGAGGGCCACCTGTATAGTAGGTTGTGAGTTGCAAATCCCACAGTTAGGGCTGCTGACCAGCAGATGGCGCTCCTCTCCCCCTCTTGCTTTTGCTAGGGGAGGGAGGACCCCCCCCCTCCCAGCCAGTTGGCTCTATTTATATCTGCCTGGCCAGCAACTCCGCTTGCTTCCTAATTGGGTAGCGCCAGGGTCTCGCTCAGGGCAGACCCAGCAGGACCAGAAATAGAGCCCTCCCCCCCCCCCGCTCAGTTCGCCAATTGCTGGGCTGGGCTTAGAGAGGTATCCTAACCTGGTTTAAAGAGCACATTCCCAGGCACAGCAGTGGCGAATTCCGATCCCTCCAGCCCTGTGAACTGGGGCCGACTTCTTGCCTTGAGAGGCTTAAGCCGGGGGTGACTTTGACAAAGCTCCTCCTGGGAGAAGGGGAAGGAAGGCTTGGCCACGGGCCTCCAAGGCAGCTGCGTTGGGACCAGGCTCGAATTACACCCACCTCCCCATCTCCCACTCCCTGGTGCAGAGAGCGCGCGGCTGCTCCGGCCGCCAGCCCAGAGGCTGCCCTGCGGCTGTGAGAGCAGGAGGCGTTCGGCTCAAGGTGGCTGGGATGTGATCAGCCACCTGGCTGTTCCCCCCACCACCACCCCGGGATCATGTGGGGCTTCCTGACCCAGCTGGTCATCAGTTTAGTCCTGCTGGGCTTCTTTCTGGTCAGCTGCCAGAACCTCTTGCACATCGCCCAGGGCTCCGTCCAGTTCGTGCTGAAGCACGTCCACCAGGAGCTGGACAAGGAGCTGGGGGAGAGCGACGGGCTGAGCGACGATGAGGAGGCAGCCTCCACCCGGGTGGTGCGCAGACGTGTCTTCGTCCAGGTAGCCGTTTGCGTGGTGGGCAGGCGTGGATCTGGGGCAAAGGTGCCTCAACCGATGGATAACCTGCTCTTCTTAGCTTCTGGGTGCCGGCCGAGGACTCCGCTGGCCGCCTGGTGAAAAAGGACCGTTGGACAGGGAATCTGGCATTTACCAGACTTTTGGACCTTAGAAGTGGAGGAGCAATTAATACTGATGGTTTCTGGGCAAGATTTGTTCAGCTTGCAGATATGTTAATTCTGCCTTTCCTGTTTTAAATTTTATGCGGCATAGTGTGCCTTGTTTTAATTGGGGTGTTTCTGACACAAATGAAACAAGCAAGCAAACGTAACTGGAAGGCCCCAGCTGTGTACAGAGAAGAAGGCAGGGGGAAAATGACATCCTGATCCCACGCAGACGTCTGCTTTTCTTGGTTTTTTTCCAGGGTAACGAAATATTGGATATCCCTGGAGAACAAGTGACCGAAGAGCAATTCACCGATGAGCAAGGCAACATTATCACCAAGAAGGTGAGGTTGTCGCAACAAGGGATCACAGGATAGAATACAATAACAGAGTGGTGTGGGACCTTGGAGGTCTTCTAGTCCAACCCCCTATTCAAGCAGGAGACCTTATACCGTTCCAAACAAGCGGCTGTCCGATCTCTTCTTAACAACCTCCAGTGATGGGGAACCCACAACTTCTGAAGGCAAGTCGTTTCACCGATTAACTGTTCCAACTGTCAGGAAATTTCTCCTTAGTTCTAGGGGAAACTAGAGTTCAAACTCTCCTTCATTTGTTTCCATCTGCTGCTTCTTGTCCTGCCCTTGGGTGGTAAATAGGGTGACCCACGCCTTTCTTTCTGGCAGCCCCTCAAATATTGCAAAACTGCTGTCATGTCTCCTCTGGTCCTTCTTTTCACTAGATTAGACAAACCCAATTCCTGCAACTGTTCTTCCTCTATTTTAGCCTCCAGCCCTCTAATCATCTTTTGTTACTCTTTTCTGCACTCTTTCCAGAGTCTCAGCATCCCTTCACAGGGACCTTAAAATGGGCTATCCACTAGAGGGGTCCATAAGGTCTAACCCTTTGGTCAACATGACAAAGGCGTGTTGTTACATCACAGGCTCTGCTTTTCTGGTGCTTTTATAACGTCATGATGCAAGATAGAAAATGTCTTTGTGTCCTTTAACCCCCTTGATCCGCATAACTTGGGGGTGGGTGGGTGGGAATGTCTCTAGTGATATCTCCCAATGCTAGGGCAGAGGACACCCATGGCAATAAAACATATATTTTCCTCTTTGGCACCATGCTCCCCCTCTTCCCTCCCCCTTCCCTCTCTCCAGTGTCCTGGAGGCCCCAGATCACACTCCCAAAATGTGTGACTAAAATGGGGGAATTTTGGCAGTGTAGGGTTGTTGTTTTTTTAATCCTCGCTGGGTAAAAATGCCAAGCAATTTTTTGTATTTAAACTTTTGCCTAGGCAATGTTTTATAAGTAAAACAAAAATTCTGGGAGTTGAAGTCCACAAGTCATGAAAGGGCCAAGTTTGAAGAGCCCTGGTCTGGAGGCTAAACCGTATGATGAAGGGTTGAGGGAGCTAGGTATGTCTAATCCAGGGCTGGCTGGGGAATTCTGGGAGTTGGAAGTCCACAGGTCTTAAAGTGGCCACGTTTGAGGACCCCTGGTCTAATCTAAGGGAGAAGGTGACATGCTAGCCGTGTTCCAATATCTGAGGAGTTGCCACAAGGAAGATGGGTTCAACCTAATCTACAAAGCACCTGAGGGCAGGACAAGAAGCAATGGGGGGGGGCAACTCATCAGTGAGAGATCAAGCCTACAAATAAGGAGGAATTTCCTGACACGGAGAACAGTTAATCAGTGGAACGGCTTCCTTCCGGAAGTTCTGCTTGCTCCATCCCTGGAGGTTTTTCAGAAAAGCTTGGACAACCATCTGCCTGGGATGGCATAAGGCTTTTGCCTTGGGCAGGGATAGAAGACCTCAAAGGTTCCCCCCCCCCCCAGCCCTGGGATCCCATGATTCTAGTGTCCCCAGCTGGAGAATTCTGGGAATTGAAATCCACACATCTTAAAGTCCCCCGAGGTTGACAAATCCTGGTTCCCTGCTATCTCCCCCCCCCACGCCCTCCCCCCCTTGATCTCTGCCTTTCTGATTCCAGATTATTCGGAAAGTGGTCCGGCGACTGGACACCGAAGACGGGCGGCTGCACGAAGAGGTGATTATCCTGAGTGCCCCTCCCAGCCTGGGGGGCTGGATGTGAGGCTGGTTTTTGAAATCTATCTATCCCTCCATGGCTGGCGAGGATGAGCAGCCTCAGACCTGCTTGCGATGCTCTAGCGCAGTGGTTCTCAACCTGTGGGTCGGGACCCCATTTGGGGTCGATCGACCATTTCATGGGGGTCGCCAAGCAAGGCTGTC